CACCCCCCCCCCCCCTCCCCGATATGATTAGTGTTACAACCTTACAGTGAATATAAAAGAAATAAAACCAAGTGAAATCGATAAATTCTTTGCAATCTACATTGACAATTTTTCTAACTTATGTCTGTTGTCTATGATAGTGATAGTAGCCAGTTCTTTTCGTGATATGAATTGCATTTCAATAATTCAAAAAATTCTTTGTGAAATTTACTATCACGATATGAAAGATGATGGATCTATGGCACACCATGAAGAATTATTCTCAAAAGATAAACTAATAGACTCCATTACTCAAAATTGAAACTAGTTGTTCGAAATCACTTTCGATGCACGAAACAAAATTTGAGTTGTTAGAAAAGTCTTTTGTTTAATAGAAAATATAATTGAACACAAAACAGCGATGCATTTGTATTAAAACATTCAATCTCATAATCAGAATACGAGTCACGTATCTCGGTTACTATTTTGACGTGTGCACAAGTCTTAAAAATAATTATTCATGAAATGAGCAAAACATTAGTAATCACGGCATAATTGCAAGATTATAAATAATTACTGGCTTACTTCTATCTACTAATTGTTTTTAACATGATGATAGAGGTCAACGTTTCTCAAGTTATGTTTAAACAAAATATCACGAAGATTCTCATAACTTTAAATCATAGACATGCACTGCATTTGGTTGTTTTCTCTGTTATGTAATTGACTATTTAAGAACATTAACGGCTGAGAATAAACGGAAATTGATGTAGATTTAGAGTACATTAAGGAACATAGTAAACATAGAAAACAGTATCAACTACGGTACGATAGAAGATATTTGTTAAAAAATTGATTCCATAGCATTCTACAACTCAAGGAAGATAAAATGAGCAGTTGAATATCAATCGAATAAATCGACCCTATATTCTTCTGGTTAATTAACAATGAGAAAAACAGCTGGAATTATTTTTCTCTCAAATACTTTCCGAAAAGTAAAATGTGATAATATGACCATCGTAAAAAAAACAGTCAAATCGTACGTTTTTCTTAGCTGCGTAGAATGAATAAGTGAAAATTTTATTTCTCACATTGTAAAAAAAAGCATAAAATAATGAAACCAACGATATAGAATTTATGAATCTCATAAATTCTATATCAAACTTTTATAAACTATATAGAATTTATGCAAGCTTTCTAAACACTTTAAAAATATTTATTAAATGTTTCATCTACATGAACTCTGGCAATGTTGTAAAAATAATAATTTCATAAATCGTCAAATGGTTTATTATTTTTATCACCGGCTATGTAGACGTTTATGAAAGCATTAAATGTAATAAACACTACCAGGGATTTTTTGTAATTGGTATATACCTCATAAAAATTTCATAAAATCTGTCTTGTAGAAGAGTTCATGGAAATTTAATGTAAAATTGATGCCATCAGCATATATTTTTGTGAAGTTTATTGTTTTAAATGTTTTTTTTTCAAATGATACAAGAATAAACATATATCATTGGAGAAATTCTGTACATGAATAAAAAATGTATTTCGATGTATCATCAGCAAAATATTTTTCTACTCATAATATTAGAGAAATAAAATGTAACAGTATTTCCATATCATTACTCAAATGTTCAAATACAAAAAATAGTTCATATTCAGCATCGTTTGTTTAATATCATAATCGATATTTGAGTTCCTAATATAGCATCATCGAGCAGTGTGATTCACACATATTCTACTCTTTTCGATGATTCTTTACAACTATCCATTGTTATGTTGACCGAAATATGTTAGGCATGAATGAATTTATTTCGTGCGCTTATCGCCTATAACCCAGGAGAATGAATCCTAGCCTAGGATCCGATGAGTTCCGATCGGTTCCTATTGGAATCCGACGGAGCTCTTCGGAAGGCGCAAGGAAACTATCGGATTTTCGTCGGATTCCTGGTTCCGGAATCGATATNTTGCCGTCATTATCATTGTGGCATTTGTCAATACTTAAACAGTCGCGTCTTCACCTAAATCTTAATCGTTAAAATAACGACGTGACAGGGAGGGAGGGGGTGTAACGGCACAGCGTGTCGTTACTTGTGTTGTCGATTGTTTGGTTTCTGATTTCTAGTTCGTCTTTCGTTGTCATTCTTGATACGTTTGTTCTTCGTGTTCTATTTCGATAAAAAGCTCGTTTCGCGTTGGCGCTCAAAAAGTTAGATTAAGTATTGTATGTATATAGTTTACTAGTTCATGTTGCATCAATATATAAGAAAAGATCTTAATTTGTTGTTTTACATTGAGTATTGAACATACAACTATGCACTCTATTCAATCGCTTATTATAACTTATCAAGAGCATATTCACTAAATCATTCGAACCCATTATTTTGTAACGAGCTTGCTGACTAACTATTAGCATCTCAGGNCGACCTTTAAGCACCTATTCCAAATTTGCGTCTAATTCATTGTCCTTCGCTCTTTCTTGATATGCAGGATACACGCTAGGGTCATCATACCTACCCAGGAGAATGATTCCGATAGTAGAATCCTATCGGATTTAGTATGGGTTTCATTAAACCGACTAAGCCTATCGTTTTCCGTGTGTGAGACCTACAATCGGGACCCTAGTGTTAGAATCCGATAGGTTCCAGTGTCGAAATTTAACAGATTCTAACATTAGCATTTGACCCATGCCTTCTGTTGGCACCATATGCTTATTCGTTGGTGATTAAGACAATTGTTTTTTCCGTCAAATACGTTAGCAGGTCCTAGACCAAGAATCTGATCGGATTTTGTCGACTTGTCGGATTCATTCACCAGGGTTCATAGATTCGTTCGATGGTAGTACTATATTTTAAATCTATCAAATTAATGTTGCGAGTCCACTGTTCAAAAGTTGATATTCACAATATAAACAGATTTGTAGCAAGCATTCAAAGTGTTAAATCTTAAGAAGAAGCACACATATTGAAATGCGAATTTGATTATGAGTGAATCTGCATCTTTTATCATTCGTAGCTGTCAATTGACGATAAGCAAAACTTCATTACAGTCGTTATTATGTATTGAGATCAATTTCTCACAAAAGTATGATTTTCATGAGAAACTTTAGCGACATCTTTTTCGCTCGAAAGCGATGTGTCGACAAAATTTCTTTGAACGATGATTCGTTTGTCCTTTCTTTCTTCTTTTTTTTCTGTCTACGAGTTGTGTTAGTTCTTTTTTCATTCGCGATCATATATTAGTTTAATCTAAAGACTCTTGTCAATGATGGATGATCCATTGAGTCGGGCATTACGTGAAGAAGAAGATGATTTGAATTTTCATCTAAACAATCATTCAGCACCATCTGATCTAAATGATCCTGATGTGAATGAAAAAATATCTTCATTATCAATTAGCCATAGTCACAATGAATGGATGCTTCCGTCAACAAATCAAAACAAAGAAGAAGTTGACATCGATTGTGAAAAAACTACAATATATGTTGGTGATCCAAAAAAGCATAAATCAAATCTTGATTCATTCATAACATATTTAGTAACAACGAAAATTTTTAATGATGGCGTTAAAATAAATGAATCAAATGTACGACGACGTTATAATGATTTTATTTGGTTAAAAAATTTGTTGGATATTAAATATCCATATAATATAATATCACCGTTACCAGCTAAACATACATTTTCAAAAAAATTACATGCTGTGGCTGATGATGGTGAATTCATCCGACGACGTATGATAGGTAAAAAGAAACGACAAAACGTTTACACTACACATGCACCAATCCGAGTACCTACTGGGTAGTAGTCCGACTGTACTGCTTATGCCCAAGAAAATATTGCATAAAAAAGGCACCGTTTTCTGTCAGCTCTAGAAACGGCGAATATAGTGTTAAAAACGATGGTATTTTTCTAGCGAAGAAAACGGCTCGTAAAACGAGCTGACGGATTACGGTAAAATAAGGTGAAAACTAATGCCCTGTTCTACGGCTCTATAGCCGTTTCAGGCCTTTTAAGATGCTGGTTCCGACGGTCGGAATCATTGCCCTGGGTGGTGCATGTAAAATTCCCAGGTCAAACAATCACACAGTAAGATCTTCTATGATCGTATCTCTGATCTTCTATGATCTTGTAAAATCAGATGAAATCATACGAAAAATCATAAAGTCAGATCATTGTATCAATTCGTACTGTAAGATTTCTGTAAGATCTTACAAAAATATTATAGGATCTTACAGAAATCTTACAGTACGAATTGATACAATGATCTGACTTTATGATTTTTCGTATGATTTCATCTGATTTTACAAGATCTGTATCTGATTTTTTCACCAAGGTTTACATGAGTAAATCTTGCTTTGTGTTTATTGTTTCATTTATTTTAAGGTTTAGAAAATTTTCTTCGACGTATTATTGATAATCCGGTTATATCGATTGATCCATCTGTGCAATTATTTTTATCAGCTGATGATGATACTTTACATTCCGCTCAACAACAAGCACAGCAATATCAATCAACATCAACTGCACCGATTATATCATCAAGTTCGAATCCATTTCGTCAACCTATGGGTCGTGGTAAACCAATACCCAGTGAATTTTCTCGAACTGAAAATCAAATTCAAACATTGCAAGATAACTTTCGTAAACTTCAGCGTCTTACTCGTAAACTCGAATCAGATGAAGCATCGGCAAAAATAGAAGAAGAACATTTATTAACATCATTTCGACAATGGTTGGATATTGAAAGAAAATATGATGAAAATGATTCATTTATTAATAGTGTATGTGATGCACAACAAAGAATTGTTGAGAATCATGATGAGTTGTTAAAATTTACAGATACAAAATTTATTGAATCAATTAATGAATACGTTCTATTTACAAGTATTGTTCAAGATATTTTGAAACGTCGAGCACAACTATCAGAAAATGTAATAGCAACTGACAATGAGCAAATGTTCGATCAACTCACGATTGCCAATGAAACTATTAAAGCTGATATTCAGCGATGGACTGAATCGAAAGATAAAGAATTGAAAGATGTATTCTATTCAATGGCTAACAAAAAAGTTGATTTTTACAATCAATCAGTTGATGCCTGGGAGCAAGCAGCCGCAAAATTAGCGCCATCGAATAATAAAAGATGATCAAAAATATAATATTCCACTTGCTTTTGTTAGGCTGATGTCGCAAGCTGACATAATCCCTCGTCCATATAATCCTCTATCTGCTTCGATCACTATTGGTACTCTTTTCTTTCGTTCCTTACATAGATATAGATGTGATGTTTTGTTTCTTCATGCATATATATAGAACGAAGTTCGTGCGCATCGATATATCCAGCACATATACCTATATCGATAAGATAAAGGAAAGGAAAGGAAGGAGAAACCCTAACAGCTTTTATTTCTCATTCGTCTATTCCATTCATCAATTTTGTATAGATTTGCATGAAAATTAATTTTTTTTTGTTTATATATTCACGAATCAGCTTTTATGTATTTTACATTGTAGATTTAGTATCTTTAACACAATACAGAATAAAATGAGTAGTGGAACCTATGGTAAGTAACAGTAGAAAAAGAGAAAACTAACATAAATATTTGTGTTAATGTTTTAGGTAGTGATGAAGTCGGCGCTCTAGTCATTGATATTGGTTCTCATACTGTTCGTGCTGGTTACGCAGGCGAAGAAACACCAAAATATGATTTTCCAAGTCATGTAGGTATATTAGAAACAATCGATACAATAACACAAGAGAATTCAATGATTATTGAAGATACCCAAACAATAACAATGCCAAAGAAAAAATATTTTTTTGATTTAAATTCATTACGTGTACCACGTTCAAATCTTTATATGCAATCATTTTTAAAAGATGGAATGATCGATGATTGGGATTTATTTGAACAAATTATGTCTCATACCTTTGATTGTTTATGTGATAAAGATCAAGGTCCACAATATCATCCTATAGTTATGTCTGAACCACCAATAAATCAACGTTTTAAACGTGAAAAATTATGTGAAATTATGTTCGAAAAATTTCAAATACCAGCATTTTATTTATCTAAAAATGCTGTTTTATCATCATTTGCGCAAGGAAAAGCAACAGCATTAATTCTTGATTGTGGTGCTACACATACAACAGCTATACCTGTACATGAAGGAATGGTTTTACAAAAAGCTATTGTACAATCACCACTTGGTGGAGATTTCATTTTAAATCAACTTAAACAATTACTTGAAAATAATAGTCATGACATAGTACCACATTATTTAATAAAATCACGTGAACCAGTACCACCCTATGAACCACCAAAATGGACAATGAGAGCAAATTTACCTGAAAATATTACTGATTCATATAAAAAATTTATGGTTAAAGAAGTTTTACAAGATTTAGCTCAAACAGTTTTACAAATATCTGATACGCCCTATAATGAAAGTGAAATAAGTCAATTACCACGTGTTGCATATGAATTTCCCAATGGTCTTAATCTTGATTTCGGCGAAGAACGTTATCGTATTCCGTAAGTTACAATGGTTATTTTTTTTTCTCTTCTAATGAATATCATGATTCTAGACTCAAAAGACTGGCTTCCAGAACTCCCAGCATATGAAAATCTATGCTCTAGCTACTGAGATTTATCTATTAGGAGATTTTTTTTTGAGCTTTTCCGATGAAATATTCTCGAAACACACGATAGAGGAGGAATTGACAAGCATTAACAATTTAAGAATAACAAAGAATTATTTAAGAAAAAAAATGTTTTAATTTTAATTTAGTGAGAGCTTATTTAATCCATCGATTGTGAAAGGCGGTGGTGTTCAATTAACATCAATGCTTGATCTTCCTCGTTTAGTAACAAACTCTGTAACGATGTGTGATCCTGATGTGCGTGCATCACTTTATTCAAATATAAGTATTGTTGGTGGTAATTCATATTTTCTTGGTCTCGTCGAACGTCTTCATCGTGAACTTTCACAAATTTTACCACAAGCTATGCGTATGAAAGTTCATATACCACCCTCACTTAGTGAACGACGATTTAGTTCATGGATTGGTGGATCGATTCTTGCTTCGTTAGGTTCATTTCATCAAATGTGGATTTCAAAACAAGAATATGATGAAAGTGGCAAATTTATTATCGATAGGAAATGTCCATAAATATCTTTTCTCTCGTTTAACTTTGTTTTCTTTTTGTATAGCTCATTTTTTGTTTCGTACTTGTGTTGTATTTCATCTCTAAGACGATAGGTACTCAATGTTCTGTAAAAAAGTTTGATTTGGTCAAATAAAAGACTGTACTTCTTTCTTACAATTGTATTCAAGCTTATTCGTATAATTTAATAATAAAATAGCCTAAGATGAAGAAACGTATTCAAATACAACAAAAAACAGATGTTTCACGTTGTATCTGTGACCTATTGACAGAAGAAAACCATTTAATGAATAGTATCCAGATTACATTGATAAAAGTATTATCAAAAGAATTACGTAAAATTCATCAGGCATTATTTTTCTACAATCTAAGCATAAAATATTTGAGATTGAGAAAAGCAGGCTGGCTTACATTATTGAATCATATTAGTAAACATATCACGAAACTAATTTCTAAAAATTGACTGTCTACTGAACAAGAGCTACAGGCTACAATATTTCTAACAATGCTTTTATAATCTAAAATCTCTTTTTTTTTCAATACGACTCAAATTTCTACGTGTGACGTATGATAGAATTATGAAGCGTACTTAAAATTCAATCGAAACCAAAAGGTTTATGTATCCATGAAAAATATTCAAATCATATTTTGTGCATCTGAGTTTTTTGTTTGTTTATCTGATGAAAGGATTATATTTGGTGGAGATAGATTACGCTCAAGTTTGATCGCAAATGACTTTTTAAATAAAGAATAATAGATTTGACCAGAAACCAATGCCATTTACTAATCGAAAGTACGGTTCTATCAAATGAACCCCACTGGCATTAACTTGCATCTAAATCGTGCAGTATATATACTAACAAGAAGTATCTGTATAACACGAAAACAATTGTTTTTTTTATTATAAATATTCGACTTTGTTTAACAAATAAAAACGACTATTTTTTCTTCTGAAATTGAATAATATCTTTATTTGTATTATTTGTTTTTGTTGAATGATTTTTCTTATTCTTCTTTTGGTTTTCTTTTCTCAGTTTAACTGATGGCCGTTTTTCTACTCGACCTTGCATCACACCATCGTTTGTATCTGAACGAACAGATTTTTTTGATATGAATTTATCCTTTGGTCGTCGAGGTTTTTTCGTAGACATTTTCGGTTTTACATGCTAAATACAAATATACAAAAATAACTAAGCGTTTTTCTATTCCATCATTACTTACTTTAGGTTTTTTAACAGCGGCTTTGATGCGTATCATTCGATTTCCGATTTTACAGTTTTCATTCATTCTTAATGCTAATCCAACTGATGCTTCATCCTGGAAATAAACAATACCACTGATTAATCAATAACAAAACCAACCATTCGAATACATACTTGGAAAAGAACATAACCAAATCCTTTACCAACACTTGTTGCGCGATCACGTACAAGCCGAACACCTAATTAAACAGAATACATTTGTTTGTTGCATCAATCAATGAACATTTTATTTTTACTGTCAATTTCGCCGCACTCTTCAAATGCTTTCCAAACATCATCATCATTAGCATCAAACGGAAGATTACCAATAAAAATGCTTCGTTTATGATCATGCTATTTAATCAATAATAAAGTAGATTATGAAATCTTTTTCTTTTCTTTCTTTCTTGCAATTACTTTGCTATTTGTATCAAGATCATGTGCAACATCAACACGCAAATGATGTTCTTTATACAGATGGCCATTTCTATAAGAAATAAAATGTTTGATTTTGAACTGTTTCTGATATTAACAAAAAAAAAAGCGATGTTGTTTCTCAAATAACTTTTGATTGAAAGCGTTCAGAGCACTACAATAGTAACCATTTAGCATAGGATAGTCAAACTGCATTTAATTATAGACTGTAATTTCTTATACAAAAAGAAATAGGCAAAACTGTTTTTGTTGTAATTACTTAAAACTTAAGTGAAGCGTTTTAGTAGAATATTTAGAAGTTCTCCATGATTAAATTTGATACACTTTCAACATGAGTTCTGACTAATCATTTGTTTGCTGCAGATACGTCTCAGTGGATGAGTGTGTTCTTAAACAAGATCTGAACAAAATCTGTATTCGGTGATTCAATGTGTCTTTATCTCTTCTTTGAAAATGTGAAATCTTCAGCATTGTGTCGTTCCACTGATATCAACAGTTATTTAAAAAATAAAATATTCAATCGCTGTTTTAATATTGAACTTACAAACTAGTAGCATCTTCTGCTTCAGTTTCATCAGTAAATCGAATATAAGCAGTTATTGTTTTTTGTAAAGGATGAAATTCTTTTCTAAATATAATTATATATATATATAAATGATATCAATAAAAGAAAAGTTTTCAACTGACTCACTTGATAAATGCAAGACGTTTGCCTTGCTTTGGATTTAGTGGAATCTTAAAAATATATCGTAGTCAAAAAAAAGTAAAGCAATTTTTCTAAAATAGATTAACATACAAGATTCCGAAGTCGAACCGATTTTACTGTACCATATTGTGAAAACAATGTTCTGAGTTCCTTTTTGTTTTTGGATAAATGAAAAAAGAATTGAAATGAAAAAAACTTCAAAACTTACTTTTTGAGTACATCCAATAGGTACATTACCAACAAATACTGTTTGAGCATTGACAACTGATGGATCTTCATATTCGCGTTCTTCTCTATGTAGCAATATGATTTAAACTTTTTGATAGCCTTTCAAAACTTGAGCTTACTTGATTTTTCTTTTTTTTGATTCGACTACTGCTTCTTCTTCGACAGCTTCATTTTCAGATTCGTCTCTTACTGGAACACTTACAAGTGTTACTTTTTTTGCATTATTAAATAAAGCAGATAAATCAGAAGTCATCTATAATAACTAGTCTTTTTTTCAACTAAATAAATTAATATAATTGTTTTCACTAAGAAATTCAACAATGCAATTGTCTCTCAGATGGCCCCTGACAGCTTTCTGTCTTCACAAAATACAATCGAGCAGATGTTGGGCATCGTGTCAATCATCACCGAGACTTATTTTATGAAAATACAATAAAAACCTCTCTATTGTGAACACTGTTGGGACTATCGAAATTAGTTCAGATTGACGGGGTGACCATTTCGGAAGGGATTTATAAAAAAAAAAGATTTTTCGAGTTTTATTACATTTATTTTTATGATAAATTGCAGTTTATTCGAGTTAAATTTGTTTTGTCCTTTAATAATGTTTAAAAATGAAGCTTTTATTTCGATTTGTTTCATAATCATTCGAAGTGTTTTTAATGATTAGTGTACCCCAGCAGAGCAAAGCGTACGAAGACTCTGTTTTTTTAGACTACACTTTATTTTCCTATGAAGTACACCCTGAAAATAAAATGTTTGGCTTAGCAGGGTGTACACGTACACTGTGCTTCGAAATCCTATTAAAAATACTGATCAGTCGTCTTTTCATATTTTCGTTTCAATATGACGACGACTGCTACAATAGATATCTGAAATCTATCCCTGACCAGTGTTCCGAACAGCAGGGGTACCAATCAGTATCGAAATGTACAAAACCCTTGCTATCTTCGAAATACACTGCTTTTTGTTGGGGAAAACGTTCAAAATACATAGGTAAACTGTGGATGTACACTTTACTCCAAATTTCTATTCAGAACGTTGTTACAGTTGTCGATAAGATAAACCACGCTCTTTTTCTTTATTCAAATTCACTCTCCCTTCTAGACAAACCTCTCGAAGTGATATCATATTTAACACCGAATGATCACCGAACAAAAAAAATAAACAATATTGAATTTTTTACCTGTTAAAATCATTCTCGTCTTTGCTTGTCTCTCTCTCTCTCTCTAACCAATCACACAACAAGCCAATCCGATGCTTAGTGGCAACTCTCCGATAGATGACGCGATGCGCATATGTTCACATTGGTGAGAAGGCCCCAGGGCGAGCGCCCATGCCGTCACTTTTGTATAGATACCGCCGGTTTCGATATTACTGTCGCTTCTGACGGTAATTCGTGGTTGATGTAGAAATAATTTCAAAGTACTGTTTTCGAAATCTGTCATCCACTACTATCAATAAAAAAAGGCAGTTAGAATTTTTTTATTTTTTTCTCTCTATTAAAACAATCTTAAAACCTTTCAAAAAATTAATATGTTCGAAAGTAAACTCACATGAAACAACTCAAACATACTGCAGTCTTTTTACGAATATCTCGATGATAAAAGCTTCTTTTCTGTCAATAGTTTTTCATTTATTTTACCTAGCTTCTACCATATTTCTATTTTCTTTTACATTCAATTCTGAGACAAAAAACGATTTCATGAGAAACAATAATCCTTAATTCGTTTTTTAATTTTTAGATGAAACATGAGATTTTATGTAATTTTAATTCAATTTTTTGATTCAAACAATCAAATGCATTTGATCAAATATTAGATGTGATTTCAAATGTAGATGCATTACTACTTTTGTAATGAATTTATACTTGCAGCTTTATTTTTATTTGAAATGCATGTTAATCTGATTATTTTATTTTAATAAAACAATTTATGAGAACTTTTTTTAATTCTAAAACAAAATTAACATGATTTCCATGTTCACTTTCAACAAAGTTCATTCATTATTAGTACTCGTTTTATTCTGAATTGAGCTGAAATTAATTTGCATCTTATTCATAGTGAAAGCGTTTTAATCAAAGGGATTTAGTGATAATTTTAGTAAAAAAAATCAGTATCGTTATGTTTTTTCAAATGAAATTTATTTAGGATTGAATTACGACAAATCAAATTCAATATTTTCTTCTAAAATAAAATTTATATCACTATTTCTTAATGAAAATGAATTCATTTTCAGTCTAGCGGTTTTCTTTATTTATTCACTAATGTATACGTCAATTTTATTCTTTTTTTTTGTATTAATGATAATAGCTAAATTTATCATTTCGATCAACTTTTTCTCGAGATAAAAACTGAAACTGCCTACAAAACCAAATAGTTGCTTTTTTTTTGTAAATATTTTTTATTTTTCTAAATAGGATAAAAATTGATGCTCCTTTAGGACCGAATATGTGTTCATTCGCACCTTAAGAACAGCGTACTATTCTATTTTTTTGCATTAATTCATGGCGATTATTTTTATTCAATAATCAATAATTGTTTTCAAGATATTAGAATATTTTATGTTTTCTTAGATTTAAATCTATACTTATAAGTTAAAAATAAATTTTATTTTTATATTAATTCTATATTATCCTAATTTAATTTAGTTTTATTTTTATATTCTTAGATATTATAGATGTGTTTTTCATTCGAATAAAGTTCATATTCATAATTTGAAAATAATTGCTTATTTTTTCATCTACATTCTACTATGTTAGGTATTTTACACGTTAGGTTGTATTATTAAAATTCAATAGTATAGAATATGCATTTATTTATTTATTCTTTATATTTATAGATTAAATCTAAGGAATAATTTAATCTAATTTTTTTTCTTTTCTTAGATATAAATATTTACTTATCAGCCACAAAATTTATGGTACAGCTAAAGGCAAACAACAATTTGTTTATTTTTAATCTTCTACTCATTGTAGACCATACCAGAGCTTTTTTTGCATTGCGTGACATTCGTTGTTTTTGAGTATGTGAGATACTACTTACCATTTTTCTGTTTCTTTTTAATATAATATTAGTTTAATATATTTATAAAATGATACTTATATATCCTTTTGAATGCAATCAAAACTGAAAAAACACCTGATTCCAATATAGCGCAAACGCGGAAAACCGGCAGTTACAGAAAAATATCACCGGTTAACCGCCGGTAAACTTCTCAGTTATACGTTCCGTATACCGCCGGCTTTTTCGTGGATTCGATCACATGATCATGTGGTAGAGACTGAAAAAAGCCGTTCACATTCAGAATAGTGCGGTGATCACATCGGAGGGGGTCAAACCAGAAAAAATAGCTCGATAGGGCCGGAAGGCGTTCAGTATAACAGGTTGATTACTTACGAGGGGCGTTCAGTACTGTAAGATCAAAAATAAAGTAGCAGATGTCATTTTTTCTCTTTTATTCTTCGCTATTTTTTATTTAATTGCTAGATTTACTAATGCATAATTATACGTGATTAAAAGAATATCATTATTAACAATAAAAAGAAAAGTAAAACTGAACCCTCCGATTAGTATTTATAAAATCAAGGTAGCACGAAAAAAAACGAGCAACTAAAAATTTTCACGAACAAAAGCCAATTGTAAGAAAAAAAATCGCATAATATTATCACAAATAGGGAGATTCATTTGTAAAACTAATGAAATAAATACTTGTTTTTCTTTTTATCACTTTAAATTGCTCCAAGATTCGTGGCTTTTGGTAAAAGACCAGATTGACGTGGATATTTATAAAAAAGAGAAACTTGAATAAAGCCCAATATAGCACCAAGAAAATTCGGTACCTTAAATATGTCAAATATTTTAATTTATTCTAAATGAAATTTTTAAACATACTTGAACAAATTTATCATCAATTAAAATACCATACAGAACCCATTCAATAGGTACGATAAGATTGGCCAAACTTAATGGTAGCGAAAGTGATTCGGTAGTTTGCTTTTGAATAACGTGCCGCTAATAATAAATTTAAACTCGATGAGCTTTAGCACTTATACAGAATGAATATAGAACTTCTTTGATCACGTTTATTTTTAACTTTAAATTTTTTTCTAACATGAACGTTAATCATAATCTATATAATGATCTGTTTAGAGTATTTAATTTTAAAAAAAAAAGATCTTTATTTCTTCCAGTATAGGATCATTGAAAAATTAAGATATCATGCTTTCATCTGTTAGCATTCACTAATAGTTCGCCAGAGAATGACAGCTGTTCTACGCTCTTACAAAAAAATTTGATATAGATATATTAATGATATTTGTATAAGAAATAGATGAGAAATACATCTGTTGTTCTTTCTGTATGGTTATTGTATGAGACAAGAAATGGCATAGAGAACTACAAGGGATTGTATTTTGTCAAGAACTCTTGGTGATTAATGTAGATGAGAAATATGGATTTTGGCTAAATCAACGAGTATTTCTTCGAAAAATTATAAATCATTTTTAACTTTGAAAGTTTTGTTTGGAGATCAAAGTCTCTACACAAATCACTTTATAAATTCCTATTAATTAGCGTTAGATTCTAGGAGAGAAACAAATCTGATCAAAACATTTTCAAGAGCTATTATTATACATATACATACAAGTGAAGCTAATGGTGAACCAAACATAATCACAGTAGCAATTGATGCTACAAGACCAGCACGAAAAACTGCTACGCTCTGATCAGATACTACGTATTGAAAATAAAAAGTAACGGTCGCAAGAAAAGCAACTGCAGATCCGAGTAAACGAATATATGTACTCTAAATTTGAAAGAAAATAGTTTTTCGTACGAAAAAAGTTTTTTCTATAACTAATTTACACGATCAGCTGTATATTGAAGATAAATCAATGCATACAACATTTGTAAACTGGCTCCTATAAAATTGACAATCATAATAGTCGAGTTATTAGCTGCATAACCATATAAAAGCCAAAGAGTACAACTACATTAATAGGAAATTTTCATTAATTTCTAATTAACAAAAACACTTACTTAACCACCGTTGCAACAAATGGAAAACCTGATATATCACCTGTTGTACGCATACGATAGATTCGATTACATATTTGTCTATAAAAGCAAATAATAAGTCATGATAAAAGCAAATCTTGAATCTTACACGCCTGTTAAAAATAATCCAACGGTGCTTACGGTACAAATTTTTTCAATAAGTGGTGTCAAACTGTCATTGTTGTTTTTCATCCTTAATATTGCTTGTTAAATTCTTCTAGAAGAGCAAAGACTTTTTTCTATTTTTATGATTCCTAGATACAATTTTTTTTTAAGAATAATAGTGATCTTAAATCATGATTTAAATCAATAAAGACGCAAATACAAATTACAAAAAGAAAAAATACAGATGAATATACAAAATGCTAATGTTCTTGATTAAACTAAAGTTATTATTGGTACATCGAATATTTTAGTTCTTGGGTTTTTAACCAAATGTATTTTCACCTGCATATGCCATATATAAAAAACTATCTTCATCCTTATGTTCAGCATAGATTTCGCCCAATGTTGCACTAAAAATAAATTTTTATTGTATTTAAATTTAGTTTTTTTGTCCTAATAGACACATACCTTGTTGTGGGAATCGTTTTATTAACAAAAAGAAAAATAGCCTTTTCCGGTGCTAATTGAATTCGTTTAAGAATAATCCATTTAAATTGTGCAATTGTTATATCGCTGGGTACCAGAAATTTACGCTTGTCAATTTCTGGAATATCAGATTTAGGAACGCGTTCAAGTACAACCTAAATGAAAACAAACTTGATATTGTTGTCATCAAAACCTATGTGTTTGCTTTTCATTACTGGAACTCGTTCAGGATATTTAGCACGGATTTTTTCGGCCTCTTGTTTTCGTTGTTCTATCAATTACGTTAATCGATAGAAATTTTACGATGACAATGAACACACAACTTACCGAGAGGAGTTTCATCTTTGAATCGATATTTCATTTTGATATGTTAAAGTTTACGTCGAATTTTATGAAAAATAGTTTGCTTTTAGCCAACGCTTACAAATCAGAACGACGGTAACCTTTTAAAAAAAAGAAATAACCAATGAGTCATTTTAGTGTGTCAAAAGTAAATAAAAGAGGAAAAAACCGAGAAAGTTGTTGATTCAAGTTTTTTTTCTATCCTCCAATTTATGAGAACACATAAACTGAATGGATAAAAACCGAATCGAACAATGCCATTGGTGTTACCACCTAGCAACCTAAATATCATACTTGAATTAGATTCGAGTTCTTCTAGTCTATTAGAGATTCTGATCTCATTGCGCGACATCTTATTTACTCAATGAAGGCTGATACAAGAGAAAACAAAAACCGAAAAAAAAAGACGAAGCGAAATATCACATGATGATTGCATATACACTTTTGTTTGTTTGTAAAAAGAACGAATCAAAATGGCTGGTGACAAGTAGTAAATCATGGGATTAAGTGATTTAAATGAGTATTTTTAAAACAAGACCATGAAACAGATAGGAAATATCAGGAGTGAATAGCTAAGATATGAGATGTAAAATTAATGATATCACCCTCTTTATAACCATATTTATTCTAGATGTCGTTCTCTTTCGACTAAATAGTATTCAATTGATGTGTTATTTTAACTAAAACCTATAGCTTCAATTTTCAACCTAAGCAATTGGTTTTAATACAATTTCAGTTATAAAAGAAGGTTTCTAATAATTTGTAGAACCTTATTTTTGTTGAGCAGAAATTGATTAAGTCTGATAGCTAGAGATGCCGTGTTGTTGATGTATATCTGTCGAAAAATGAATGTTTCCAGAAGACGTAATTGTAGACATCTATCAACTCTTTTTCTTTTGCATTGTGTGACATCACACTTGATTACAAATCTAATTTTAGCTCTTATTCATAAACAGACTTGTGACAACATTTCTATTGTTTGACTAAGTTTTGTAGAAGGTTTTTCGACTGTCGCTGTTGTTATTACATGTTTACGTTAAGACAATCGAAATATCATTTGTTTCTTCTGATTATATCTACAACAGTTGTTCGCTCATAACGGATGCAGAACATATTTTACTTCAAATATTTCTGTTACTAAAATAGAGCGATCTGGAGGTATAGATAAATCTCTAACCGAATTATCACCCTTCAGGGTCATATTAATTATAAGATTATTTAAAAGAATAGTCTCTTTTGGTGTACATAATCGAAAATGATAAAGTGTATAATGACATGTACTAAATTTTTGACCGGAAACTTCTATTTATAAACAAGAGAGCATCAAAATAAATATCTCACAACAAGAAAGATGATTATAAAAAGAAATTGAGTAAAACAGTTTTTATTGGAGTAAGAAAAATTATCATTATCAATTTGAAAAAATCATTGATTTTTATTTTGTGGTCGATACATAACATCAGTACGAACAGTATATTTTCGACCTTTTTCCAACATTGAACCTTCGTGATAAATTCGATGTTCGAAAATAAGTACCATTCCTGTAAGTGGTTTACATGCAACATTTCTACTTCGGTCAAAATAATCTAGGAAAGTTGTTTCTCCACCTTGAAAATTTTCATTTAAATAAAGTTGAACTGTCTAATAGAATGAAAAAAAGATATATCGATATATAAATACAAAATAACTAACTATAAAACTGGTTTCATCAGACCCATCTTGACGGTGATAAATTCCATCTATTTTTATGATAGAAAACATAAAGATATTATCAATGTAAAATTTCAGTGGCATTTATATCATTTATTAATATATACATATATCAGGGTTGCCAGCTGTTCAGGTCCCAAATGGGGTACACATTAGGTACGACTCAGTTGTAAATGGGGTATATTCGTGAGGTACGCAGTTTACATCTTTCACACTGGCCATCGGTTGCGGAACTCAATTTCGAAAACTATTTTCAATCACCCAGGTCGCTCATTCCTACAATCGGATCCAATCGGATCTGAAAATGGGTTGCATCGGATCTTACATGAAAACCGACAAGAACCAACAGACTCCGTCGGATTCCGGGTTTCGAGCCGAGATCCGGATCCGTAGGATCGGAATCCGATAATATCCGATCGTATCCTACTCTGGGATCCGATGCGCCAAAAAAGTCTGCTATACTCAACTTCTAAAAAGCTCTTTTGCACTAAATAGAATTTTGATATTTTTTAAAATTCTTCCGTCGGATTAGTCGACCTTGGTTGTAGTGATCATTATATTAATAAAATCTTGGAACATTCGTTTACAGTATCAAAAAGTCGTTGTGTTGAAGTAGTGGAAACATTTGATATTATTAAGAGTCTTGTAGCAAACTTTCGTCGAAGTCACCGACAATTAAAGTTGTCGAGGGAACTTCAGACTTTTAGTTCGACTCGTTTTAGTGAAGTCTACTATATGATGGTGAGTTGCTCACGCCCACACCCAGCTCGTTATTCGATATTATTTTATGACACATTCTAGAACGTCTTCAATTTAATTTATAATGAACTTGTTGATATATTCAGTGATTCACATTATGACAATTTTGAATCAATTGATAAGGATTTATTAAGTCATATTTGTAATTTTCTTCAAGTACTTGAAAAAGCTATTACAACTTTAAGTGATGAAACTCAGTCAACACTTAGCAAGGTATACCACTACGAAAGTTTTTGATCGATCATTGTGTACCAACAGCACAAGATTTCCTAAGTATTAGTATGTTAAAAGAATTTTTACGTACGTACATTTTTTAAATACTACAACTTTTCCAGAAGTTAACTTGTATTCCATTTATCCATCACTTATCAAAATATTTCATTTTACAATTGTTTTTCTAATTTTTTGCATCAAATAGAAAAAGAAATTGATACACACTGGCCGATCCAATCGGAACATTTACTTTCAACCTTGATCCATCCTCGTTTACGAGATTTTTGTGGTAATCAGTCCTTGAAAGATCAAGCTATTCAATTATTACAGTCTGCTGTTGTTCCTTCAAATAATTCATCTAATGTTAATTCATTAACTTGTGATTTATCTGCATCATCAAGTGTTGATAAATCAACAACACCTGTAAAAGCAAATATTTGATCTCGATGCTTTGATAAACCACGAGCTGCAAAACTACCAATCGGTGAAGTACAGCTATGGCTACAAGGTGATTTTGATTTTAAAATAAGTGATGATGATATATTATCATTTTGGAGAAGTAAAAAAAAGAATTTCCAACAATTGCTAGTATTCCTCGAAAGGTGTTAGCTATTCAGGCGTCTAACACTTCGGTGGAGGGATTATTTTCCTCAACCAAAATCATGATTGGTGATCGTAGAATACGGTTAGGTGCAGAAAAGATTTATAAATTGATGTTTCTACGAAAAAAGTTAACTTTACTAAAAACTATGTTCGATTTGAAAAACGACTCGACGTCGACAACAACTGTGTCAAAAAGAAAATCTATTGATGCATTTGAAGAAGATAATGATGATCATTATGGTATTTTCAAGAAAGTTAAAGCCGATGAAGAAGATGAATATGATTTATTAAGTGACGATTATGAAAGTGATAAAGAAAATTCAGAAGCAGAACAAGTGTTTTAATTTATACTAAAGAATATTGTTTTTTCTCTAGCATTGGTTTTTTGATGATTTTAATTCAGATTTAATATTGTTTATGAACATAATAAAAACCTAGACTTTTTAATTTTCTTGATTCAATTATAAACTGAGTAAATTTTAGAGATTTGCGTGACCATGATCTCAATTACTCAGTCACGATCACGGTCACGCATGACCGTGGCCGTGATCGTGACCGTGACCATTTTGCAGGTCTCTAAATCCGCATATTTTAAACATATGTAAACTGTTCAATTAGTCATGTGTGAGGTAGCTACTAATGATAATATAATGATAATTGGGAAACAAAATCATGCTGAAGGTAATTCATTCTTTGAAACACCAGTTAATGTCGACTTGAATAATAACATAATTTGACTATAACAAACCTCAAAGTGTTAAAAAATACCTTTGAATACAGAACTAGTCAAAGATAATTGCTTTGAAATTCTGAAAATGTTTTCATTTAAAGAATCAATTCCTCATGTATTGCAGTGTCCTAAGCGACTATCATATCAATAAAAGAGTTTATTATCATCATTCCATTCAAAAATTGGTCATCGATATGTGTGACGGGAACTCATGAAGCTTCTGTATCCAATTGTGAGCAAACTCATTCAATCTCTTTGTTAACAACACATAAAAAGCTGCTTTTAAAGGTGCTCCTATATAGAATTAGACATTGGTCTGAAAAGTTATGTAGGATATGAAGATCTTACATTATTGTGCACATACCTTTGCTACCATTGGCGGGCCACCAGAGGGCAATTGGTGGCAATTGCCATACCACAAAAGATATGAAAATTAAAGACTTGCCTAAGAAATAGTATTGGATAAGAAAGTTTGTCAGACATTGCCTTTTTCAATACTAAGAAAGATTCGACATTTATATATTCCACTGGTCAAAAATAGTTTTACAAAGTACTTTTAATATATGATCACTATAAATGAACATTTTGAGACAAGTAATTATATATTCGGATAGGGCGTGGAGTTCTCTGCAATCGTGTATATATTTGATTTAAATTGTATATGCTTATAAAAAAAGATACCTTAAAGAATAAAGAACGCACTCTCGTTATCAGAGTCCTGATTACGTTCGATTTTTCTTATCTCTTTTTGTTCATCAGATAAGTAGCAAAGTGAAAACTGAGAAAAATACAGAATGATAGAGTATTTCACCCGCTTTCAGAATATAGGCTTACTTTTGTTATAACTTGTTCTTTTGTTGAAAATAAACTTGAAAAAGAAAGAAAGCAGGATAAAAATAGCGTGAAAATTTGAACGAAAGTGCACAAAAAAATGAATTTTCGAGGAATCCAGTGAGGGTTGTATTCATTTTCTTTAAGGTATTTTTTCTAAACACATACAATTTAGATCGAACATATACATGTTTCAGAGAACTCCACGCCCTACCTGAATATATAATTACTTTTCTCAAAATGTTCATTTATAGTGATGATTTATTAAAAGTATCGCGTAAAACTATTTGTGGTCAGGGGAATATATCAAGTAGTAACCGATTACACTGCACAGAAAGACGAAACAGCAATGGTTTTTTCTGAATAAATCTTTTTTTTAATGATATGTTTTAATTTATTTATTTCAACGGAAAAAAAGAAAGAAAAAATGTCTCGTTTCCAGCATAAATATACATAGTTGTGCAGTATTTTCGCAAAGTTGCAAACGTTTTTTCAAACTCGTAGTAAGACATTAGAGTTTATTGCCATACGTATATTTGGGACGCTGGCCCGCCATTGTTTGCTACCCAGTATTGCTAGTTTCGTATGTTATTAAAATAGGATAGATTTACTTTCATTAATGAAGAAGATTTCTATATGATTTATTTCAGTCTTTCTAAAAAATGTATAAGATAATAAACGGTACAAAAGTCTTTGTAAAAATGTCAAATTCATTTTTTAGTCAGACTTAAAAGTCTTACAATGAAGGTGTTTGTACTGTAAGTTGAATTTACCATTTATTTTTGCATCAATTGAAAGCACTTTGTTGGAACAATTTAGTTTCGTGGAAAATGTTTATTTCTGAATTATTTTAATCTGCAAGGATTACATTTAATAATAATAAAAGCTACATTAAACTGACGAATTCAAAGTTCTGTAGATATCAACTTTAGCAGTGTTTTAGATCCATTCTTGGCTTGTTAATCAAAAAAGTTTATCGCGCGAAATCGTTACCAAACGTAGTTTTTTTGCATGGACTATCAACAGTTGCCACTCGAAATTCTATGCAAACTAGACACATTTTTCGTTATTTGATTGATTTATATCTAAGCATAGAAGGAAAGAGAGAGAGAGAGAGAGACTAATTCAACGACAGATTTTATTGCTTTAAAATGGTCAAGTAGTGGCAATGACTAAATTAACGAGCTTCTGTCACGAGAAAGTCGTTCATTGATATTGGAAACGAGAAATATGTGAACTTCTAATGCACCCCTGCAAAGGCACCATTTGTAATACAAAAATCATTCTTGAAATGTGTTTTCTCCTTTTCAGGTTTGTTTTGAAAAATATATCTGCTGCAGACTTTGTTGTACCCTTATTATTTTTCACACCAAAAAGAATAATTTTTTTATGATTCTGCTGAATTGATAATTTATTGTTGTTCTATTATTTTATAAATGTTTATTATGGCTAAATAAATGTTTAAAATAAGCAGAAAAAATATTTGAATACTAAAAGCATATTTTCTACATGAAAATTCAGTGTCTGTTTGAATTTCCACTAAGTTAATTGAATATATTTTGCGTAACTGGTGATGGTGGGGGAACTGCAAAGCGTTCTAATCGAGCCTGGTCACCGTTATTCGTTTGTATGACTAACTGATGTTGGCCTTGGGTTTCTACACGATAAATACCAGAGATAAAACTACTAATTAAACTTTCTTTATGCATCTCTTCTGATGGACCTGCCATCAGCGTTGACATAATTGCGGAAGTTTTCCATTGATTATTTGCTGGATTATATTGCAAATGGCAATTTAGTGAATTAATTACTCGAGCGTGAAGACTGAACCTATTTTCATTTTCATTCGCTATTTCAAATTGATAACCTACACATTCTCGATGTTGTGGATAATCAATAATTTTCCAATTACCATTAATACCGGTAAATTCTAATGATGAACGTTCTAAGGACGTAGGTATTTCTTGCGAACGATATATTTTGACTTTACCATTAGCATTAAAGCTAACCACTGAAAAAAAGAAAGAAAGTAGAAAAAAATGACTATGCTCGATGGTATGATCAATAGAAGCTTACCGGGAAACAATGGCTTTGGATATGGAGCTTGAACATGAAAAGCTAAACCTAAGGATTTTTCATTATGAAAGATATACATTTTCAAATCTTCACTCGTTAATTGCAATAATATCCCAATTTTATCATTTTGGCTTATTTGATCACCGAAGGCTGATACCAAAAGTCCACTGCCATCTGACAAATTACCTAAATATTTCATAGCTCGAAGTCCCCATCCACCCTTAAAATCGTGCTCTGTTGTTAAACCAATAGAAGCACCTCCAGATTCTTGCAATTCCCGAAATTCTATTTGCCAAAAATATTGCCCGTTTTGATTAGCTGGGTCTTTGTACATGACATTGATTGGACTACCATAATAACCATCGTTTGTGCATGTAATAGTGTCACCATTAACATTAACAGCCGACGTATTTTCGGTTTGTTCAACTATCCACGACATATCAATCAAATTTAGATTGAAAAATGATCACAGGACAAATCTAGTGACAAAATGAAATGATATTGGTTTTTATACGACGCGATGTTTTCTTTTCTCTATGTTGACAAAAAATAAATATGCAAGCTCGTGTCATCGACGATAAAAATGAGTGATAAGAAGAAAAACAACATAAGAACATATTGTAAAATGCCGGTAATATAAATCGCAAAACGTCATATTTGATATTTACAAAAAAAATATCGAAAAAAACGAGAACGCAGAATTATTTTTAAAACACTTTTTATTAACCTGTATTAATGTCAATACTCTAGCCATTTAGCAGCAAAAACCTGTTCAGATTAAATGATGATTGTGCTACTTTTCAAGGGTAATTTATGCATTTCTTCTCTATCAATTATATGAATGAAAAAAGAAAAAGAATCGATGAATGCGTTAGAATATGGTATATTAATCATTTTTAATGTGATGCCAAGCATAGCATTTCTGTTGTTCGTCACGAGTTTTTCTTTCTCGACGTACGCATCACATCTCGTCGTGTTGTTGTGCAATGGTCTCGAGAACCGAAAATCATAGAAAAGTCATTGAAACGGGAGATAAAAGTATCAAGATGAAACTTTTAACATCTGTTTTTGAAACTTCAGTTCCATTCAGTCACAAATGTCGTTCCAAAATGGCGAAAATGAAAGAAATTTGTGCTTTCTAAGTTTACGATAATTAAAATGACGTCATTAAAATATGTTAGCAACTATGGCCTATTCATTCACAACTGATCTAAGACAATGAATCATGTAGATAATTAATCGATCAATCGAAATCGACCCTTAAGGATGTATCGCTAAGTAAGAATAGAGTTTTCTCAGAGATGAATTTCATCATGTCGACATAAAAAGTATTCAAGATTTCTCTGAATTGAAGATTTTTCGTGAAGATTCGATTCGAGCTTCGCATCGCATTCGTATTCGAGTGAAACTTGAATACCATCTAGTTCACTCTGTTTTCTTAAAATAATATCTATTAGATTTAACGAATTAAAAGTTTACCAAAAGTAATGGTGTCTCAAAAGTTGTGATCACTTAAGAAATTCATATAACTCTCTTGTTAGTAGCACTGTATCTAATTTTTTCTGTATTGGAACAAGAAGATTTTTAAACTTTTACTTATAGAAAGAAAGTTGAAAAACGCTGTTCAATAGTATTCCCGTCAAATAAATTGCAAAACTTGTAGAACGTTTATTTTGTAAACATTTATTTTGAAATGGTTCCATATATAGAAGTATGGTAATGCTAAATCTGACGATGAAGGAGTCAAAATAGTATTGATTTGTCTATCATTGTGAACTTTGTTGAATTCAGAATTAATCACTGTCAAAAAATGTAAAATTACTCCATCTTACTGGAAAATTATAGACTCCTCTAAATTTTTCTTTTACAAAATTGAATAAAAAAAATTTGAAACATTTCAAGATAATTACCTTGACGAGCTGTTACATTTCCAATATACTATATATAATGGACTTCTCTATCACAAGATTTTAAATTATCTTGCTTCTCAGTTTGAAGCCATCTCAAAATAGATGTCTACAAAATAAAAATTTAACATATAGATAATCTAAAGACTTGCGTCCTTAAAGAAATCAATATAGTAAAAAAATTAACTTTCTGGGATGCTGTTTTCTTCAGGTGTTGTGAGCTTTCTGAAATCAACTTGACAAGAATATCATTGAACAGTATTTTTAAACTTTCTTTTTATAAGGAAAAACTTAAAAATCTTTTTGTTCAAATAATGAAAAATAAATAAGAGAGTCATAGAAATTTCCTATCGTCAGTGATCACGCCTTTTGAGATACGACGTAAATAACTAAATTTACTTGCAATATTGTAAAATCTCTATTGGTTGTAAAGTTCTACTTAATCTTTAACAGTTATAATATCTTGCGGGGTCGATAGCATCTACTTAGAAGACATATGAGCGAACAAAAGTATCAGAGAAGTGAAATGGAGTGTTGTAATCAAGAATAACTTTTTAACAGTAAAAACACACAAATAAAGTTTTTAGTGAGAATCTGAAAATTGCCAATCATTAAGATCTTTTGAGAAATGTATTAAGAAAAGACAATTAGGAAAACTGCATAGTGAGAAAAAAGAAGTCGATGAGAAACAACAAGCTGATTTTTGTGTTTCCCCCACATGACCAAAGAGCGGTAGAAAAATCGTATGATCAGTAAAATTTTTGAACATAACGTACTAAGTTAGACGCAAAATATTCTTATGGGAAAACGCATTTAATTCACTAGCAAACACATAAAATCTAAATTTTATCAAGCTAACTATGAAAAATTCTACATCACGTCACGCATACATACATATAAATCGAGAGAGAAGAGTTAACGAATAATAAGAGAGGTATGATCATAGCAATGAAAGATGGCGTTTTATAACAATACAAAACATGAACTGCCGATAAATGAAAAACACGTGTCTATTGTGTTGACAATGTTTGTTAGAAAGAATTAAAAAACTAGATACTCGTATGAAGCTTCTAAAATAAAGACTACATTTCATGCGTCCTCAAAAATTTATCAAAAATAATGAATCTATGACACCTACTAAAGCTTTTCCAAGAAGTCTAGCATTAGTCTTTTTTATTCTGGACGATAATGACAAGTGTGAATCATCGTATTGACCCAGTTTAGTAATCTCAAAATATGAAATGGATTACTCATGATGTTGTTTTATTAGTTTACGTAGGATGTAAGAGAAGCTGAATTTCACAAGAGGATATATAAGATATTGAATTCAAGATTCGAAAGTTACTTCATAGTGAACTTAAGATATTAAATATAAATAGGATCTTGTTGAGTTAAAAATCAGATCATTTGATATACTAAGTTATTCAATTTGAGAATGAAGTATTAACACAGAATATAGAGTATTAATGAAGATCTCTCTCAAATATCTTATGATTTTCCTTAAATATCAACTTTGTTGAACAGTATTCAAAATGGTAATTAATTAAATGCATACTTATATTGTAGTGAAATCAAAAGACTAAAATTGATCGACTGTGTAGGCATTCTAAGCTCAAAAATGATGTGAAAATTTAGACCAATTTGATCTTGACGAATGTATTTTACCTTAAATTAATAAGAAAAAAACGATCGAAGAAGAATTAATCAGATGACTAATAAACTATGGTAATACTTCCAACAAAAAAAATATCAAATGAGACTGTTATCTTTCATCGTTTCGATACTATTTGTCTTCGATCTACGATACAAAATATACAAGATATGCTTCTATATTGACAGATACTATGTTGAATATAAAAACAAAAGAGGAAAAATAATATTGGCAATCTTACCGACATTTAAAAAAAAACACGTAGAAGGAAAAAAAAGCTGTGCATGCAATAAAAACATTCGTATTTGTATCAATAATTCTAACGAGTGGTTGCAAAAGAAAAATCCTACAAGAACAAATATAATACAACCGTGAGATTTTTTTTCTTTTCTTTCTTTCTAATTTATTCTCGTGATTGAAGAATTCAAATTACGACGCCTTATATTTCAGTATAGAAAACAGCTATTATTCACATTGCAGAACATAAAACTTGATAATGATTGATAAGCAAAGATTTCTGAGTAAAATAATTTTTTTATTTGGCTGCTTCAATTGTCAAAATCAGCCAATCAGTTAAGTTTAAGTTATTACAAACAGATCTCCATGAATTTACAATCGTTTACCAATCTAAATCATGATACGCAAAGGCAATTTTCGATTTCCTTGTTCTTTTAAAGAAACACGATCAAGATGGAAGTGAAAATGAAGAAAAAAAAACTTAGAAATAATGTTTCATCTACTTTTATCTAACAATCTGTAATAGCCAAATGCATGTATAGTTACAACTAAACATGAATAGAATCGAACATAATGTTCTTTCATATTGCTTTGCATGTTCTCTCCTTTATGTAAACTCATTTATTTAGTCAACAAATAATTCATGTTTTAACTATTGTTTGATTTAGTATGGATTTTAAATATATAATTTAGCCTTTTCGAAAGTCAATGAATATCAAAATATGTTTAATATGCATAATTAAATAATGTTGGACGTGCATTTATTGATAGTTAAATGGCTGAAAAATATTTGAAATATCATTCTGATCAGGAAATTTAAAAATAGAGTATTGCTTTGATTTTTTGGAACATTCTTTACTATTATTATATTGCATCTGAAATTGTAAATAAAAAAGAAAGAACCTTCGTATGGTAAGAGATTTTTTTAGAGAAGATTTCTGCCATTAGATCAAGTCTGATGAGTTGACCGATATGATTTAAATCAGACGAAAACCAGACCAGTAAACTGTCGGAGAAAAATCTACACTGCATTTGCAATCTGTACAGCTGAAATCAAACAACAGTTGGTTGATATTTTTGACTGTTGGCTATTCTCGCTCACTGTACTTGCATTGGCATGTACTGATAACTCTTATCTGAGTAATCATCTATCACTGTCACGCTTTCAAGTTTTTTGAGTCTTGTGATATGCCAGAGATTATATAGAGAATTGTTTGTCACGGGCCGAAAAAGTCATTAAAGATGCTCAGTGGTGTTTCATATTTTCCAATTGATGAAGTTTATATTGAAATTTTAATCTAATACGTCATCATTCATGAAAAGAAGTCGTTATCATTGATTTGAATGGGATATTTTTTCATAGCAAACTCATTTGAATACTATCATAAAATATCATCGTAATTATGAGTTTCCATCTAACAATGTTTAAATCTAAGCTTGATTTTTTCATTGATGATTACAATTTTTTCAATTGGACTGTTTCAACATAATCAGTTTCGAAAAAAGAAAGAATTTGAATCCGACATCAATATAAAGACTAATCGGTGTTTTTGCGAAAAATGAATCCCTGATTAAAAACAGAACTTTTTCAAATTGAAATTCGAGATTGACCAAAGCAAATTTAATATTGAATGATGACACAGA